ATCTGCTCGCGTTACCCATAAATGTCAATATACGCATACACTTTCTTCAAACACCCTTACACGAATGTTCTACAGTGTTCACAAAAAAATGACAACTAGGCCCGTATTTTAAGTATTTATTACGCACCGTAGCTATTTAATAGAGAAGAAAGCAGTATTCAGTACGTTTTGTCTGAAGAACAGAAAAAAGGAACCAAATCAACGAGTACTTATTTGTCCTTTGTTTTCAACAGTACAATAATGTGATAAATATTTCATCATTCAAACAAATATCTAACGGAACAAATAACAGTCACAACGTTTGGGAATCATGAAAAAAAATTCAAAATATGAAAAATTTTTAAGAAAAAGCAAGGAAAATAATGGGAGAAAGATTAACAATATTTTCAGACTTGATAATGGAAAAGGACAAGGTGTCAAACATGATAAGAGAGTTTGAACAAATAGCCAGAGAACTCGTGGCAAAATTTAGGAAAGCAACTGATATAATATATTTAGTAAGTCAAGGCGTGACACAACTACCATAAGAAGCATTAACGGCCATATCAGAAGCAAAAATCTTAGCAGGGCAACTAAGATCGAACCTCAAATTTTCAGAGCAAGAAAGTGCAAAAATGGAGGAAGAAATTGGAGAAACTTCAGGTACCGCGATCGTAGCATTCAATGGAAAAATCACATACTATATCAAGATACCCTTGGTAACAAGACAGGATTTCGATCTCCTTAGGAGATCACTATTATCGGTAGAACAAGAAGAGTGTAACGCAACAGACATCGTGGCATATGTACAACCAATACACAATTACGTGGCAGTCAGTACGAGTGCGAAGAGTTTTGCACCAGTGTCACAGGAAACAGCTAAAAAATGCAAAAAAAGGGATAAAAGCGCATTTGCACACTAAAGGAACCGGCACATGAGGTAGAGGAAAATCATCTTTGTGAATGAAAATGAATCCTGGGTTACTCAATAAAAAATCCAGAGGAATGCCTGATAGTACCCAAATTGAGAGGTACTTACTAGACACGCCTACATGCAAAAAAACAGCACGCTTTTAGCACTACGGGGGGGGGGGGGAGAAAACACACCTGCAATGCGGCATACAGAGCATAAAATATTGAAAGTTGTAGATGCAGGAGTGAAAAATTTATCAGAAGACTGCACGGCTGAAGCGTCAGAAACACAATTGAGCCCGGGATCAGAGAAGGGCAAGAACCAAATAGTTAAGTTTAAAGACTCAAACTTGAATGTAGGTAAAATAGTACAGGGAATAAAAGAAATAAAAGGGGACAAGTTACGGGAGCTTATGAATAGAATAATCAAGAGGGACGGATCACAGGAACTCGGCACTCAAGAGCAGGGGGCTGAAGAAAACTCAAAAGCAGGCTTAAGATTAATGGCCACAGTGTAACGTGTGCCTGAGCTTTTGCAAACACAGGGAGAATCATCTGATTGGAAACAATACACGTGGATGGTGGCAGAAATAACACCAGGCATGGCGGCAGGGTCGTTCGGATTCCTAAAATGGGGGGGGGCTCCTCAATGCTAAACTTGGCTAAAATTTTGGCAGGTAGCCAATGCAGAAGCAACACAAAAAGAGACAGGACCATGGTAGTGAATCCTTCAGCACCTCAACCAACATCCATCGAAATGCAGAAGAGGACTCCAAGACGCCTAGTTAACATTCCAGTAATCATCACGAAAACATCCTTCAAGGGTCGCGAGTCCGCATAAAACAAGTGACGTAATACAGCAATTCTCATTACCGAAAGAAAAATAAATAAAACTAAGGAATATGAAACAATAAGTAAAATATAAGTAAAATGACGAGTATATTGTGATGACAATAATAACTATGTCTTAACAATAATTCTGTAATGATACTATAAGTAATAAGGTAATAGTATAATAAGAACAGTAATGACAATTATATTAATAAGAAAAACGAGAGTGAGCACCGGAAGTCACTCCACTGTATTGGGGGGGTGGAGTCCGTAGAACGAAGACAAGAAAGAATTTTCTTTTTTCGGAAATACGTAATGACAGAAGAGTTATGTTAAGATTAATTATATTCAAAAAAGTACTGTCATTGATCACAACTCATGAAATAAATCAATATGAAAATAAGTAGATATGAGGGCCCGGAGTCACTTGACTATATTGGGGGGCGCAGCCCGTAAGACAAAGACAAGAAATAATTTTCTTTTCTTTTTAATACTGATGGTAAGAAATTTGTATGAAATTCTTTTTTGTAAAGTAAACAAATGATAAATAGGCGTATGAAAAATTACGAATTAGAAACTCTATGTAAATAACGTAACGTATAATTCCAAATTTATTATTTTGTATGTGAAACAACACTTAATGTAAAGTAGTTTTAAGCAGATGCTTAATTCATGGCAATTTCATATATAATTGTAATATAAGGCAAAACGCATACGCAATCAATATTGTTATACACTCAACACACAATGAGAGGAAACTGAATGATTAGAAGAGTAAAAATATTAATCTAAAGAGAACAGTGGTTCTTTACAATTGAATGGAAGAATGAGTGTAGAATACTAAATGACATAATCAACACAGACAACTGAATGCAGCATAGCGCACACATGCACAATTGCAAACAAGTCTACAGGCTCAACACTGGCTTAATTGAAAAGTCAGCGTCATGGAGGGCGTCGACGTCGCGACCTCGGACGTGTAACATACGATATGCAAGGCATATCATACTGACTCTCCCTGGTAACAGCGAGGCTAATTTGGCAAGAGGGCATCGGCAGGGGGGGAACAAGGTAATATAAGGCCCAGCGAGCCTCAAATTGTGGCAGTCGGGCAGAAGGCAGTCAGCAGTCGAACGCTATCAAGAAAGTCGGTTGTTACCAAGGGAGTCGAGCGTCATTGAATCAAGACACCGGGCTATTATTACGGGAGGACACGACGAGCCTAGAACAGTAACACACGTGTGACTTTGCCTTATAAATATGGTATTTTTAATAAAATTCCTGAAGAAAATAAGTTTTGATCATTCTCGCAACGCACCGATACATTATAGTAAAAATTTCACATTAACTTTTCTGAGAATCATCTTGAAAATCATATTTCCAAAGCCATACACAGAATTCATTAAATTATACAGAAAAAATATCTCATCCAATATTACGAGGTTATCTTATCGTGTATTTTATTTATGTTAGTAATTATTATCTATAAGCTACTACATTACAATCTTATGATTCAAAATCCATGAAATATTTTGCTTGTGTTTAAAGATGTGCTTTAAAAACTGAAAGTAGATCATGTGGATCTTCTTAAAAACTGAGAAAATAATGTAATATGAATACCTAAAAATCTGGTGATGTAAGTATCGCACATGAGTAGGACATTATTAAAGTACGTTATATTGTAAAAGTATGCTTTTATCTTAAAAACATTTACCATGGTAACTGTTAAAAGTTGTCGTAACTAGCCGATAAAAAAATAACAAAATAGTGTTCTGATTAGAAAAATAATTAACAAAAAAATTTCGTATACACTTAGAAAAAAATCATCATACGACATCTTTTGTACATGAGCCAGTTTCAGAGGTTTTCACTTTAAATTTTGTAAAATTATGGATAAAGGAAAATAAGCGTTAAAAAATGGATAAGTAAAACTTTCAAAAACATTTATTTTGTTACAAAGAAAAATGCCTTTTCGTACAGAAATAGAAATATTGCTATCTAAATTTACTAGTCTTGTACTCGTACAAAACTTTTGAGATACATCACATTACATGAAGTATTTCAAATTCTTCTAGAAATAGAGTGTTTTACTTAAATTTATTCAAAAATAGTTTACGTAGTGTAGTACAAAAATGCTTGTACATTCGCATTAAATTGTTGGTGAGTCTAAACATTTTATAATCGTATTACATAAATTTGTTATTTGCCACTTTTATTATTATTGGTAAACGACATTTCTAATTATAATGAAGTTTATTTTCACCATTTTTTAAAAAAAAGTACGTTTTGCTTAGTTCCTTTTTTTGTTACTAAAGAAATTTTCAGATCTTTTCTTACAATTTTGTGGTTTTCTTTTGTCAAAAACATTTTTTTTTATGACGAGGAACTAAGTATTGATTTCCAACCTTATATATTAATGTTAAAGTGCTTAGTTGACTAAACAAATAATAAAAAATATAGCTTCTTTAAAAAGAAGAATAATGTCTATCTTTAAACAGATGTTTACAACTACAACAATGTCTGTTTCAGTATGTGTTGCAATTACATTAGTGAATGAGGGCTTTTTCAGAGTCTGAATGAGAACAAACTTATCACAGTTGTGTCAAACAATTAAGATCTTACAAATTAACGTATCAGTGAAGAGATTGAATCTAAAGTAAAAAGAACGTTAAAAGTAATAAGAAATTTTCTTTAGCGATATATGACGTAAATAACAAGGCTTAGAAGCTTTTAACTATTGTTCTCGAAAATTGTAAGTAATAAACTTATGTACTCTTATGGCAGAAAATTATTTTTTTTTTAGACTTTGTAAGAAGAAGACAATAAAATTAATTTTTCATGATTCTTCTTTCTTTTTTTTCTTACTCTGTGTATGTATCTCCAATAAATAAAACAATTGAAAAGCCATATGTGAAGTAAATGCCTTTATTTAAAAAAAAAATTGTCGACGTTTTACCCCTTAAGGAGTCCTCTTCAAGTCAAATCAACAGCTCCACCTAAGTAGGTGCCTCAAGCACTCCCCATAATTCACAATCAGCATCTTCAACTTACATATTTATTCAATAAGTGTTTCAGCCACACTGAACAAATATATCTTCAAGGAATTTTCTCGCACTAAGTATACATAAAGAAAGTTTCACAACCCCAGGGGTTTGTGTATAATAGGTGAGCGAAGATTCTTTGAAGATATGTCTGTTCAGTGCGTCTGAAATATTTTTTGAATAAATATGTAAGTTGAAGGTTGGATGCCGATTGTGAATTGTGGGAAGTGTTTGATTCACGTACATAGGTAGGGCTCTTGATATATCTTGAATGGGCTTCCTTGAGGAGTGAAACATCGACAACCTTTTATTGGAATAAAGACAGTCACTTCACATATGGCTTTTAAACTGTTCGATTTATTGGAGAAAATTAGTTTTTCTTGAAAATTATAGTCTACAAGTAATAAATCTCTTAAATATCACGCATAAAGTCTAAATATTTGTTGCATTGATAGAAATACCTCTCGTAGTACGGTGACATCTTGATGTTGTAGGAACTAATGGGCTTACACTAGAAGTCCTAGTAGTTAGTGGGGATAAAGAGGGAGAGAAACTAGGACATAAAGCAACAGATTGGAAAGTCGCATTATCATGAGTAATCGGTAATCTTGGTGAAATTGTTCTTGCTATGATCGGTACATTAAGTGTTGTCGTTGGGACTGAAGTTAATGATGGTGTTACTTGTAAAATATAATAATTTGAACTTTCATTTACTTCATTATTTGTATGGGTTGGGAGTGCAGCGATTTCATGAAAAACATGAGCTAGTGACTGATATTGTAGTTCTGAGTATATGAAATTGTTCCAATCATACAACTTGATAAGGTCTTCTTCTCTATAAACTATAGAACTAAAAGATCTATTTATCGACAGGCTTTCTATGTCTAAATCTGAGAATGATCTATTTGATCCTCTTATTTTTCCACATAATAATCTAGCAAATTCAGCTTCTGCTGTAGTTTCAACTTCAATTAAACGTAATGTTTCTAGTGGAATTATTTTGGAAGGTTCACGAAGAATATTTATAGGTGAATCTACAATACCTAATCTAGCTAAATATTCTTTCGTATTGTTTACTAAGAGATCGCTTGTCATCTCATTAGCTTGCTGTTCATCATCAAAACTGTTTATTTCTGCATCATCTTCATCATCGTCTTCAGCAGAGCCATGGCCTGAAGATCCAGATTGTATACTAGTTGATGATTCTGACAGAGCTTGAATTCGAGGAATGGAGGTTCTATACAAAGGTATTTCATCATATTTTGGTAATAAGAATTGGCAAGTGGCTTCATTTTCATACACTTTGTGCACACTACTATTACTATCACTTTCCTTTATTCCAATATTATTTTTAATCGCGATGCTATGGAAAACGCTAGAATTAGTATGGCTGCTAATCATAGCGGGACTACATTCACTTGACAGAATGGATTTTTCATGGAGATCTTTATTATTTTGGTATAATGTATTAAAATATATAAAAATCGAAATGACAGTTAAAACAAGTAGAAGAAAAAACGTAAAAAATAACGATATCCAATATGCCAAGCTATCGTCTGTAGAGTCAGATAAATTTATATCTTTACTTGGTGGTAGTGGAAACGTAGAAGTTTTGTTTAAATTTTGCTTGACTACATTTTTTATGATAAATATTTCTACAACTGTTATATTTGACAGTGAATTTTTTCTTCCTGAGTTAGCACAAACATATAGTTTATAAAAATTTAAGGATCTTGTGTCGACTAACCCTAACTTCATTTTTAACGCTAATTCGCCTGTTGTTCTATTCAGTTTAAAAAAAGGATCATGTTTTAAAAAATGGTATAAAACGTAACCATCTGGACCCTTATCCTCATCAGTAGCTTTCACGTTACCAATCGATATACTAGCAGATATATTGAAATCTCTTTTTATATCAAATCGATATAATCGCTGAGTAAACTGAGGATAAAACTCATCTCGTGATTCAATATCAACGTTAATTTTGGCAGTGGCAGTATGACCACCATTATCTGTTGCACAAATCGTGAATACGTAATGATGTTTTTTTTCATAATCAAAAACATTTTTAGTCGTTACAACTCCTGTAATTGCATTAATTGAGAATAGTTTATAATCTTCAACCAAACTAGAAAAAATATATGAAGCCGTTGATAAAATAGAATAATTAAGGTTTCTATCAATACTGCGGTCATAATCAAACGCATGAGCAGTAAATACTTTTGTTCCAACAGGCTCGTTCTCACCAATGTACTTAAAATACTCAGATACAGGAAATATTGGCAAATTATCATTGACATCTTCAAGCTTAATGAGCAAGCGTGTACAAGTACAAAGAGGATTTATAATATCACTGTCACAAGCCATAATAGTGAGGTGGTGTAGTTCTGGCCCTAGATCAAAATCAAGATTTCTGTTTACCCAAACTGATCCTGAAAGTTGATTGATTTTGAAAAAATTAGCATCATTTCCAGAAGTTATAGTATATTTTACTGCTGATGATAAATTATATCCATAATCAGAATCCTTCGCCTGTACTCTTATAATAGTAGTATTTATTAGTGTATCTTCATTAATAACTACTTGATAGAGATCTTGAGTAAAATAAGGATGGTTATCGTTAACATCACTGATGTTGATAACAACAGTTACTGGGCCTTCATTGAAAAATGCCTTGGTTGAATTTTCGTTTTTAGAGTCCAACTGAATAAAATACCTGAAAAATAGTTAAAGTATAAAATATTAGGCACATTTAAAAAAATGATGTCACAAGAATTACAAAATAAAAGTGTATTTACTTCATGCTCATACTAATCGATAGTAAAAAAGTGAATTGAATAAGTGTAAAAATCATTTTGAATGATAAGCTAAAATCAGTAAGTTTGTAAGAAGTATTAATATTAAGTTTAAGCTAATGGTGCAAAACCATAGTAATTTTTGTATAAATATAACTAATCTACGATATATTTTATAAACGCTATATATAAGGGTATCATAAATATCGAGGCAAGGATATAGATTGCTTTTTTTGAATGAAAACTGTACTAGGCGCATTTGACGATTTTAGATGGGAATAAACTTATGAGTTTCGTAACATCACGTCGTAGTTATACATTTCGGTAGCTGTTAGTATGACGTACTGTGGTCAGCTAGGGCTCAGGCCTCAGCATGATAGCAGTAAAAGCCTACGTATCATTTTGTATATCTATTGCTGCATGTGCAACTGTGGCTGTCGAGTGGTCTGTTTGTACCTACCCAAACTTTCCATCCATAGGAATTACCACTTCTGAATTGTAGCATAAATATATGAGGGGTAAAGTAAATCAATTGATGTATCAAAATAGCGTGAATAGAACTTGAATGAAGTTAAACACAATTATTAAAAATACATTTTGCCTAAAATTTTTCAAAAAAAAGTTTTCAAAAGGTTTTGTTTGAATACTTTCCAGACTATAGTACTTAGAAAATAGTGTTTCTTCCTAGTTAACATTAGACACCATAAATTATGAACTAAGAGCTTAGCTCTAATAATCGGTTGACCTTGATAAAAGCTTTCAGGTCAACACGTGTTATGAGGTGAAAACCTTACTACATGTTATCATGCTCCAAAATACTAAGTTTTAGACCTTATTATTATTATAATAATAATAATAATAATAATAATAATTATTATTATTATTATTATTATTATTATTATTATTATGTGTACATGTTACGAGCTTCTAAGTGACATAAATGAATTTTGATTGTAGAGTCCCAAGCTAATGCTGTTGTTAAAATAGCAGAGTTGTTTTAGCAAGAGTTCTACGCTCGTAGTTCATGACTGATGAACCGTGGCGCCACTGAAGAAGCCACAAGCTTGGAAAGCTGCAATTCAAATAAGATACTAAGAATAGTTTATAATTGGTCACTATAATAATCGTTACATGATATAATAATAATATCGAATGGACCTTTAGTATAAAAGCTTCAATAGAAAGATTACAACAATAATTTTAAAAATAATAACAGTAAAATTAACAATAAATGTAAAAAAAATGATACTACTTGCAATGGCAACAAAGACTATACCAACAACAAAAAAATATTAATAATAACATCAATAGTACTAATAATATCAGTACAAAAATATAGTGTTTGTGCATAACGCATGCGATCAATTGAGAGCAAATTAAGAAGTACAAATGAGAACACTATGATTGTTATGATGAGCTACATATTTAGAAGAAATATTGAGAGTAGAATAGGCTGTCCAAACACAAGATATAACAATAAAAGTAGCAAAGTAAATAAAAAAAAAATAACAGCAGCAAAATATCAAATTAATTTTTATAATTATAATTACACAAAACAGCACTCTTTAAAACTAAAGACCTAAATTTACATTATCACTGTCATAATTTCGGGTATTAGTGATATTAATATCATTCATCAAATCAATTATTAATCATGTAGAATCGAAATTTCAGCAATCTCCAGAACTATTAATGCACTGTCTTGACAGAAGCAAATCTTCAAGTGTATCAAGGTGCAGTTTGTTTTTGATAGGTGTTTTTTCCAATTTTAGCTTGCTCCATATTCTTTCTGATTCCGCACTTCTAGAAGGTACAATAAAAATGTGTAAAATAAAATTCACTAAATTCCTAAAAGGATAATCTCTACCGTCATTTAAATGATCGTACAGCTCAAACCGAGAGTCTTCCATTGAGATATTATTATCCATTAAATAATTTAGAAAATCATGGTACAAAATTAAATTGCTACATTTACTAATCATCAAGTAAACATCAGTGTGTTTTTTAAAATATCCTTATGCATAAAGCATCTATCCTTTTTCCTGTTAAAAAAGTCGAAAATAGCGGCAGCACTTGAAATATTTTGAACAATAACAGCATCTGTAAAATATAACAGTAAAGCATTATATTGCTCATTCATGTGCAATATACATGTCTCTAATGCTAGCTGACGAGTACCCAACGGTCATATAATTTTTGGAATGTCTGAATGAAAAAACACTTGGAACTTCACTAAAGTGTGCTGGCGCTTTGTCAAACGACAAAAAAAATTATAAAAGGAATGACAAAATTGTATGATATTGTTTGGTAACAATCTGGTGGTATGCTATGCATACAAGTGTATCGAATGACTTAGGCAATTAACTATGATAACTTTGGGATTAGCTGCACGAAAGTGTAGTGCTACAGAATTACGTTTGCTTATCATCGTATTATCGATATACTATCTGATCCAAACGCTACGGTATTATAAAATATCATGTCTTCTTCAACAAAATTTGACGTGCTGCTAAGCAAAACATATACTGTGCACGTAGAGCAGTTCCAAAAACCGATCACAGCCAACCGCGGAATTCGTTTCATTCTTCCCATTGGGCATGATACTGCAGCATTCGATAGTTATTATTTACTTGAGGCATTTTACTATAATGATTTAATGAAGTATTTTTCATGACTAAAGCACTGCAGTAAATAACGTGTCTCAGAAGGTACATTCGTTGTATTTTTCGGATATAATTCGTTGTATAATTCGGAGCACTTACGTATGAATATAAATATCAAACTAAAATATTTTAATAGGTTTTTTTGATGGAGATATGAGGAAAAGCTTTTTCCTACAGTATTTTTCTTGACTCTCTGATTCAACAAATAGAGATTACAATATTACAAATATCTGTTGAAACGTGTCACGAAAAATCTTATGAAATTGCCATGGGATGGCATGTAATTCTATCGATGTTCATCGAATGTAAATAAACAAATTCAAACAAAAAACTAACTGTTTTGATCTCTGACAAAGATAAGTTAATACTGACGCCCGCTCGATTGATATAGTGAAAAAAATAAAGGATCGCCACCATGACTTTTTTCTCGTTAGTTTGAAGGAATTTTTCTCCATTGAAAAAAGAAATTGTTTGGATGATTCTCTTTTTTTCCTACCTCAATCGAGCCCTTGCTGATTTTTTCAATATTTTTTATTTAATAAATTGTTTGTTTATTTACTTTATTTACAGGTAGACTTGCCCATATACTAACATATTAAAATAATAAGTATAAGGTGTGCACAATTTTCCTTTAAATTTGACCAATTTATTTTGTCAAATTCAATCGTTCTTAGTTATTTATTGGAACTGCTGCGGCCCTAGCTCGTGAGTTCTCCCCATCAGTAGTGTCACGGTTCATCAGTCATGAACTATCAGCGTAGAACTCTCGCTAAAACAATGCTGTTGAATAGTCAAAAGGTGTGATGTGGTAGACTACTTCAAATAAACTACTTATTATTAAAGGCTGTTTGAGGCTTACATCTTTCATATTAGTACTCAGGCTATTCAATGTATACATGTCCAGAAACATTATGAAATTTTGAAGTATGGCGAAAGTGATGTGCTTGGTCTAATGTTATTTTTACTCATTTACTTGTTTATGTAAAGCCTATTCATTAGCAAAAAATTATATTAGTAAAATATTAAAAATTTCTTTGAAAAGTAGCACGAGTTTTAAAATATTATGTTATTTAAAATAGGATTTTGATCGATCGCTATCTGTAGATGTCTGCAAAATAGTGTTGAGACGTTTGCTGTAATGCAGAAGCTATTTTTATGTAACTTTAAACTAGTGGTGTTTTTATTTTCATGATCGGTTGGTCAGTCGGTCAGTCGGTCAGTCATTCCGATTCCTCTTGTATGTATATCCATATGTATGTATATTTATATCTAGTGAATATAAGTATACTTTTTTGAGGAATGGGGTCAACCGACCGACCGTTCAACCACGAAAAAAGTAGCCAGTATTTACCAGTAGGGAAACTCTTTTTCTCAAACCTTATTCCTTAAAGAAGTTTAGGAGATTATTTAATGGTAAAATTATTACAATGCTGGTCTACAACTGGAATTATTGAAATGTAACTGGTGATCAGCTCTATTTAAGTGTTGAAAATTTCTGCTAGTCACTGTGATGCCTATCAAACTTGAGGAGCATATCCATGCGAATAACGTTCCTTCGTCCTATCATGCCATTAGCTTAAGCAATGACCGCAAAACATACAATAAAATTAGCATGAACTAAATGAAATGCCGAGATTATCAGATACTTTTTTAAAGGTCATTCAACAATCTGACGCTATTTTCTTCTTTTTGTGAATGTTTTAATTTTTTGTTGACCAACTGGAACGTGCTGAGCGAAACTTGTTATGAAAATCTTTTGGATCTTTTTTAAAGAGCTTGTACCACTCATGCACATTCTTTTACTCTCAGTATACTCACCGTTTGCTAGTGGTAACATTTTAAGTAATTTGGAGCACTTAAAATTCAATTATTTGTACAAAATTTCATGTGATTTCTTTGCTTCATTATTTTTTAAAGCAGAAAATTTTTGAACGTGCACAACATGTCTAACATTTTTTGCGTCTCACATAGGAACAAATTATGGTGTACAACAAAAATGGTGAGTGTACGATTCTGATTCTGATAAATGTACCAATACAACAACAAAAACAACAAAATTCTGAATTTCAATGTACGTAGTCCACAGAATTTGAAAAACTATCTCACCTTCAAAAACACACATTTCGTAAGTGTGAGATAAGTGAAGCAACCATGATCTTTTAACATCGTTCGTTTGTAACCAAAAACCATCTAAAATCTTTCTTATTAAGTTATCTAAGTTATTAAATTATCTTACTAAATACTTTTTATCGTTATAC